ATAGATCAAGTATCGACCATCATAAAGACTGAAAAATAACATTGACAAAGATTATTGTTTAAGGTTGACGGGCACGCATGTTTTAATTAGTTTTTTTTTGTTTTTTGTTTTTTTTTACGAATTGGTCAAACTCAAACAAAAACTTGTTTCAATCGTTATGAGTCTATCGATTGAATAGAATTTTATCATAAACAATTGTCTTGTAAATGGAATTTTTAAAGCATTCTGAATGTAAAAATAAAGAAAAAAGTGTGCAAGACAATAAGAAACAATACCTGCCAAAAAAAGGTGAAGTTTTGTTGAAATCGGTTGAAAAATGTAGGAAATCCGATCCCATATATAACTAGGAATTATCAAGCACATATACTAAAATATTGTGTCAGCCCAAAATGCAGATTCTGTGATAAATATCCAGAAACGATTGATCATCTTGTATCAGGTTGCACGATGTTGGCACCCACTGAATATAAAACCCGACATGACAGAGTGGGCCAATATCTGCACTGGAAAATCTGCAACTTCTACGGGAAAGAAAACTGAAAGAAACTGGTATGAACACCACCCAGACCCGGTTACGGAGATAGGTCCTGTTACAATTCTATGTTACAATTCAATGTTACAATACACACTGAGAGAACAATCGAAGTCAACCCCCCAGACATTGTTATTAAACAAAAAAAAAAAAAAGTGCCTCATTATTGATATGGCAGTCCCTGCTGACTGCATGTATCTTTGAAGATATTCACAAAGCTGTCAAAATACAAGGATCTTAAAATAGAAATCTCAAAATTGTGGCACATGGAAACATCAACAATCCCTGTTATAGTTGGATCCCTAGGATTGGTTAGAAAAGATTCTAGTAGACTTATTGAAGGGATTCCTGGAAGTCCATGCCTTAAAGAAATACAACAAAATTGTTCTCACGAGTACAGCCTACAACTTACGAAGGGCTTCATCTATGTATAATATGTGTGCATGTTTTTTCTTTCTTTTTTTTTCTTTTTTTTTGAGTTGGTCAGTGGAAAATGTCATGATGCCATTTTTGACCGGTTGGAAATATCTGCGGAACAGGAAAATGAATCATAACGAAAAAGTCATGAGAATATCGATTTCGTTTCTAACAGACACGTCGAAGGACATATTAACAGACATGACAGCGTGATCCGAACTGCCAAGCTGACATATATTTATAGATATATATTAAAGTTGTTCTTTGTGTATGTTTGCGTCATAGTATTTGGTTTATTGCTGCACCCTCTTACTTCACTGAAACCACTTTCATATCATTGAAATTGAGGCCATTTAAACAGTTAAACTGTACACTTATACGTCTACAGGCAAATACATACGTACGTATAAATATGTATATATATATATATATATATCTATGTGTGTGTATGTATATATATATAGATATATATATATATATGAAGAAATATAGTCTTAAGATGTGCTATATTTATGGGATAAAGTGGTCACTATATGTTGTGGTAGGATCCATCTAATTTGCATAGTGGAGTACCGACCATATAAATATGGTTGGTACCGGGAAGAGAGGGAGGAATCAAGAGATTCAACCAGAGACTCTGCCCGACTGCGACTCAGTCAACACATTCTCCAGGAACGGTCTTCCCAAGAATATACAAAAGACTATATGTAAATATTGTGTACATTTTCTTGTTTCAATACATTTTGTTCTAAGTACATTTTGTGTTGTATTATTATTCCATGCATTAGTCAAGTTCCAACACTATCAGAGATAGAGCGTGTGTAAATATAAAATTGGACATAGAAGTCAACACTTAGAGCGACAGTCTGTTTCATGCTAGATGCTAGATGACTCGTGGCCTGACGATTGCATTTAGCATGAAACAGACTGTCGCCTCTAAGTGTTGACTTCCATGTTCATATATATATATATATATATATATATATATATATATATGCATGTCTGATTGAATAAATTACAGACACTGTATCTGCTAATTCTTAATAAAATCCTTTCATACTCACGAATAACAGAGTTTGCATGTTCACAAATTTCATTTTGGGGTATTCTAATTAATTTTGAACAATATTATCAATAGGGCCACTGATTTTCATAAATTCATTTTCTCGCAAAAGGATTGCCCTTTTCATGCAGATTAAAGCAGTCTGTTTTTTGTTGTACCATCAACATATTTAAAAACAGCTCTGATTCGTAGCTTATTCCGATGTCATTAATAGTATGTCATTTAAAAAGTATGTCATTAATAGTATGTCATTTAAAAAGTATGTCATTAATAGTATGTCATTTAAAAAGTATGTCATTAATAGTATGTCATTTTAAATTGAACTTCCTCTCCAGAGCAATCAGAAGACCTGTCTTACATCCAGAGTTCAAAGGGTTAATCTTGCCATCGACTCTTAAACAGACAAGCTTTTTAATATCTTCAGTGTTTCTTTCATGTGTCATTAATATTATATTAGCCTTTTTATCTATCTATTTTCTCCAGAGTAGTCACAAAACCTGTCTTACATACAGTATTCGCATTCGTGTTGTATAGAAAGCAGCCTTAAGGCTGTCTATATTATAAAATTCTTCAAAAACACTAACAACTCCTTCTGTTATAACTGTTGCGGACTGGTGTACACGTTGAGAGATAAACACGTGTGTCTCCTGAAATGCCCACAACAAACATGGCAGTGACGGGATATGAGTCCATCTAAAGATATGTAAAGAAACAACAAGAACTGATAAATATATAGAGAAACAAATGATAATGGATTAACAACAAAGTGTTACAAGTGACAAAGAAAATGTGTTTAACAAAATGAATGTGGAACATTTTTGGTCCAAAGTATGAGAAGTGAGTGAATGTCCGTACGTAAGTGTGTGTGTGTGTGTGTGTGTGTGTGTGTGTATTCTCCATGCGTTTTCCAAAAGAAAACGCGTTATAATCGCGTTTTTTTTCCGCGAGAAATTTACATGTTGGCGTAAAAATTTGGATGAGGCTGCGAATAATTATCACGGAGTATTTGTAGTGACGGAAAGCGTCCCCTAGTAGCGGTTTTATACATTAGGAACATGTAACTCGATAATACATTAGCAAGAAAGGTATACATTTTAATTTTTTTTTTTCAAGCAAAGGATGTAATTCACCAATATTCATATTGGTAGATACGGCAGAACAACACTAGTGGCACCTGTACTTAGAACTGGTCTATGAATCAGATATTTTCCAGTCTCAGTTCCACAGATAAATGGTGTTCTAGGCTCTTCCTTTTTAGTTTAATGTCATCATTTTCCCCTATAACTTCTTTATACAACAAAGTTGCTTCATTATCCCTTTGAGTCCTAAACACCGCTTTACCGGTGGAAGAGAGAAATGACGTAATGCCCATCCACCGGTTGATCAGTGGTAGAGAAAAAACAACTTCGATCCGTTGAACGGTGGGCAAACATTTGTAACTATTTTTATATCCACCGTAAAACATTACAAACCAATTATTTACGAATTTTGATACAGGAGCTCAGGCAGAAGGATTCAAATTGCTTAGGAACACAGGGCTCAAATGGTTAATATTGTTATCAACTCTTCAACAGACAAGCATTTTAATATTTTCAGTGTTCCTTTCATGTGTCATTAATATTATTTTAGACTTTTTTATCTATCTATTCCTGACTTATCATTCTTCTCCAGAGTAATCACAAGACCTGTATTACATCCGGTATTCGTATTCGTGTTGTATAGAAGAGCAGCCTTAAGGCTGTCTATATTATCAAATTCATACAAAACACTAAAAGCTTCTTCTGTTAGAACAGCATCAGTAGCACCTGTATTTAGAACTAATATATGAATCAGGTATTTCCAGTTCTTGAGTAAATGATAAATGTTCTAGGCCCTTCCTTTTTTTAGTTTAATGTCATCATTTTTCTCTATAACTTCTTTATACAACATTACTTCATTACTTCATTAAGTTACTTCATTAACCCTTCGAGTCCTGAACACCGCTTTACCGGTGATAGAGAAAAATGACTTAATGCCCAGCCACCGGTTGAACAGGGGTAGAGAAAAATGACATAATGCCCATCCACCGGTTTAACAGTAGTAGAGAAAAATGACATAATGCCCATCCACCGGTTTAACAGTGGTAGAGAAAAATGACGTAATGCCCAGCCACCGGTTTAACAGTGGTAAAGAAAATGACATAATGCCCAGCCACCGGTTTAACAGTGGTAAAGAAAAATTATATAATGCCCAGCCACCGGTTTAACGGTGGTAGAGAAAAATTATATAATGCACAGCCACCGGTTTAACAGTGGTAGAGAAAAAGGACGTAATTCCCAGCCACCGGTTTAACAGTGGTAGAGAAAAATGACGTAATGCCCAGCCACCGGTTTAACGGTGGTAGAGAAAAATTATATAATGCACATCCACCGGTTTAACAGTGGTAGAGAAAAATGACGTAATTCCCAGCCACCGGTTTAACAGTGGTAGAGAAAAATGGCGTAATTCCTAGCCACCGGTTTAACAGTGGTAGAGAAAAATGACGTAATGCCCAGCCACCGGTTTAACGGTGGTAGAGAAAAATTATGTAATGCACAGCCACCGGTTGAACGGTGGTAGAGAAAAATGCCCAATAACCGCTTCAACAGTGGATAAACACTTGTAACTACTATTATATCTACCGTAAAACATTACATAGCAATTATTTGAGAATTTTGACTCAGGAGCTCAGGCAGAGGGCTTAAAATTGTTTAGGAACACAGAGATCAAAAGGTTAAAAGAAAAAAAGAACCATGGAATATTTGTGTAGACTGGGACACAAAAAACGAATTCTGGCGATAAAGTGAAGGCATGCAATCATACTCTCTCCCTGCTAAATATAATGCTTATAATTATTGTAACTATTTTTATATCTACCGTGAAACATTACATACCAATTAATAGCGAATTTTGATTCTGGAGCTCAAGCTGAAGGTTTAAAATTGTTCAGGAACGCAGAACTCAAAGGGTTAATTATTATCCAGAACAGCCTTAGACTGTCTATACTCTCGAAGTCTTCCAAAACCCTAAAAAAGCTTCTAATAGAACAATAATAGTGGCACCTGTTGTTGGAACTATTCTATGAATCAGGTAATTTCCAGTGTCAGTTCCTGTCCATTTTCGGCATGATCTATCTCTTATAAATGCAGAGGATGGTATAAAGAGTCTGGTACTTACTGGGAATTATTTTCCGTATATAGAAAATATATCTTTAAAACAAAGGCTATTTTATCTTAAGTCCTACGTCTTGGAAGCCTTTTTTTTAATCATTTCGCCCCAAGTAAGACGATAAAGGGTTTCCAAGAATAGGAGCTCAAAAAGTGGAGACAACAACAGAGAAGAACAGAAATTAATGAGACAGAAGATAACAACTGTCATTTTATTTAAATTTTTTAAAATCAATTGAAGTTGATTGAAAAGAATGTTCCAGAATGATGTTCATATTTTATCATGGAAAAAACAACCTTGCCACCAGTGATGATAGATGATAAGGATATTTCATCATCATGGAGAATAAAAATAAAAAAAAAAACATTCATCATCCTAAAACAATCTTGCCACCAGTGATAAAAAGTGACGATAATATTTCATCGTTCTACAATCTGAAACTTCGTCATTATAAAAAAAAAAAATCCCTTCCACAACGAGCAGTAGCAGTAGTAAAAATGAACATGTAAGTGTCGCCATCGCTCCGGAAAATCGAAAGTTGACGATCGCAAACGCTATCCTTAACAACGAAATTCTAGGAATAAGTGAAAAGAAGTAAGCACAAAATCTTAGAGAAAGAAGAGAGATAATAACACTGAGAAAATTTTTAACGCTCTCTATATCAATATCAGTCACGAAAAAAAAAAAATCTTGTCAGTAATATCAACATATGTCTACTGTCTTATTCTTCATATCGTTGTGCATTTTATTCATTTTATTTTCAGTATTAAAAAAAAGTAAAAAAGGATTCCTCTCTTGCTACAAATACGTATAAGAACGAAGTTACTTACATTACACATAACAAACATCCTACATCGTAACAAGCACTAAGACAGAAGAAAGTTCCACAAGTGAGAAATACGTGAAAGTAAACTCTTAACATTAGACTTACGGTTACATCGAGCCATTTTAACTGTAAAATTATGAGACCTTACCGCCGATGTTGTACTTGGTCGAGAGAATAAAAAGACGCCATTACTCCGTATTGACTGACTTCAACTGCGATAATTTGCTTATGCTCTTAATACACCGCATACTTAGAAATCTTTCGATCTGTTAGGCCGACGAGTATAGGTAGTAATGCCAGTATGAATGCTGGACGTAAATGATGAAATATTTTTGACAAAATAGATTTGAAGTGTTGTATAGAAGAAATATAACAAAAGTTAACATAGAAAAAAGGGGAAAAGTAAATTAAAAAGGATAATGAGAAAAAAGGAGGAGAAAGCAAAGCTGAATTGAAAGGGTTGGAAAAAAATCGTTTTTATCCTATAAAATAATAATAATAATAATAATAATAATAATAATAATATCATCATCATCATCGTAACCAAGGGGAAAAAAAACATACCTAAAAACCTAATTTTTAGAAAATTGGTCCAAAATCAATATTAACAGCGTCCCCATCGACAACTTTTCCAATTCTCACTCATGATAATTTTTTTTTCTCTTTCTTTCTTCTCGAAATAATTGTCTAATTTAAAATGCATACATCTGAAGGCCACACATTTTGCTGCAAAATATATCGAGAAAATTGTCAGGGGAAAAAAAAAATTACATGTTTTACCGCCGGGCTATCTGACGAGCCTGACTAACCCCTTCCTTTGTCCATTGGAGAGAAAGAGAGAAAAAAATCAACGTCAATGATTGGCTAATGGCTTGAATCTGCGACTCGATGTAGCTTAACTTGTCCTTTTAGGCGAGATTGAATCAGGGAGTCAACAGAGGTGAAGGTCAGAAAGTTTACGCGGCACCACCAAATGTTAAACCTGGGTTGATGTCCGGTGTGATTGGCAGCATACTAAATACGGTTTCTTTTTGAGGAAAGGTTTTCTCTTACCGCCATTGTTAATACGTACGATAAGCGAAAAGATTACAATTGTATTTGCTGAAAATTTTAATAAAATCGACAGCATTGTGTAAATTGTTTTGCAGAAGAGTACCTTAGAACAGTGGCATCTATTTATGTTTTTCGCATCGCCCACTTGGAAAACAATTTTTTTTCTGTGGCTGATAAAATTATTATTGTGTAAAAAATGACTACCATTTTACACAGAATATGTCCAATAAACATACAACTAAATTGATTTATTGGACGCATACATAAACTTAACGTTTTTCATTTCATAATAAAAAAATAACTTATAGATAACACAAGAATTCTGCCTTAGAAAAAACAAAACTCTGATGATGACATTGTGATAAAGCTGAAAGAACTCGGAATAAATGATTATGTATCAAGATCGTAATTTTCGCTCTTCTT